AAGCGGATTGCGATCCGCTAAATTCGTACTTGTTCTGAGTATAGAACGAGAGGTCGGTCACCTAACTGACGCTTCCTCAAAGCGCAAAACTACGGCAGCCCCGCTACAATAGATTTGTGAGGAGAGATGTAACGACGTATGCTGTGCGGTTGTGTACATATGCCTTTAACTTTCGTACAGTTGTACGAAATATACACTACTTATTTAATGTATGCAATGATGATTTATTAGTTTTAAAGAACTAATTTGATGAGAATGATTGGATTCCGTTATGGGCTATAAAGCTCACGTCAAGCAAAACAGACACTGTTTTTTGTTGTTCTCATGGTCAAAATAGCAAAAGCAGCGTCCGATCCTTAGTTGATCACGTGATTAGAAAGTAAGCCAAAAAAGATGGCTGTTCTCATGTTGACGTGCTGATTGATAGTGAAGCGTTACAAAGTGCCACTTTAGGGCCTAATTGGCTCGTAGACTTGCGATTTCGGGGTATTTGCAATGGGGAGCCTTCCTTGCGATGAACAAGACCCCAAAAATCGCTCAATTCTAATTGGCTGACAGCATCAGCTGCTTTCATTGTGAGAACAACTATTATCGGAAATTGTATATATTTGTATTCGGGTTGCCCTAGGTATCTAGTCCTAGAGGCGCACAAAAAAAACTAACCTCGGTATTTAAGATCGCCGACATTTTTTCTTAGAGAGTACGGCAATCCATTGCAGACAAGGCCGACCGTAATGTGCATGTTTGATACAGTGGTAGTCTTGTTGCCTAAGTAGCAGACTGGTGTACAATGGAGGAAAAGATCGTGGTTGGTTCCCAAGCAGGTGGCTCGACAGATTTTGGGTTAATTTTATGTTCATAGCAATGGATATCCTAGGCAAGTCTCGTCGGTCTAAGCATTGCGAGTGCTGAGCATGTTAATGTAAGTTTGAAAATTATTGCCGTGATGCTCAAGCGCATTAAGTCAGACCGAATTATGTTGATTTAGCTGGTATGCTGGCCGACTCGTTAACCGAACGTAGAGTTGCTGAAGATATTTGAAGTTAAAGTGTGGGCGAGAAGAGGTACGTCACGGCTGTGTAGTTCTGGACACGATCAGCCATGCGGTCATAAATCATGCTTGTCCTTCTTTGCAGCGCCTTAATCAGCGTCCTGCTTATCTCCTGTCTAATTTGGATAAATCACAATAATGTTTATTGCCGGGAACGCGCGAGCCTTCACGCCTACTCAATCGCTCGTCGAGGCTACAAATGGAACTGCTATGATAGTTCTATTTTTGTCTGATTGCAAATACCCGTGGACATTAATGTTTCTCGGGGCACGTGAGATTTGTATTGCACTGTTTTCGCACCTACGCACGCATTTTACATGATATGAGAACATATATTTGATGTATTCGACGGCGCAGATTAGAAAATCAGGAATATAGATGGAACATTGTGAGATCCATACTAAGCAGCAACATCAATGCAACTACTGATTCATTGTGCGCTGATGCGAGGCAAAATTTTATCCCGCTCTTTGGCTTTTACTGGTGACATACTAGACGAGTTATAGGACGTAAAAAGTCGCCCACTTGAACGGGGTGGTTTTGATTTTTTCTTCTTGATTGCAGCGCTCTTACCAGTTGATGAGGCTGTGCAGGTATTGATGACAAGTGACGCAGCGTTGTCTCTTGAGAGCAACAAATGGCTATTGTTACTTGATCGAGATGATGTCGTGTCTACCACCTGAGGACGGGAACGTTTATCACTCAAACCTACGTTTGACTTGGCACTATCATCGCCATCCTCTGGTGACCTATTATGTTAATTATCAGTTTAAAAAAATGTTTAACCGCAAATATCACATTTGACACTTACAGCGGTATTTTTTCCAACGGCAACAGAGGAATAGCATCCTCTTTCTCCATGTGGTGATTCTTAGGACTTTTCAACATAATCGCACTGGTGCAAGGTTTCGTCGGTAGACACATATTGTTCTGGCTGAATTCAAGCCCGAGTTGAGCTTTGATGGTAGCCATTGGCAAAGTTGACAATTCCCCGGAAGTCAGAGGTTCGTTGTCGTAAAATTTGCGGTATTCGCGACTCAAAGACGTCTGATTTGCCACATCCAGATTTAGATCCGACGTTTTATCTTGTATTTGAATGCTTCCATCCAAATCGCTACTGGACAATTGCACGTGATGGTGCAAAGTGCGTTGCATTTCTACTCGAAGCACTTCCGCTTCTCTACGTCGATCACGCTCAAAATCAAGTTCTTGTTGCAATCGAGTAGCTGTCCGTTCACTTTGTTGCATTCGACTAGTAATGTCGGCTATCGTTTGACTTGCAGTCTTTTGAACATTTTCGAATTTTTGCATCGTTGCTCGTAGCTCAGCCGCCACACGATAAAGTTCGCTTTTTGTTTGTTCGAGTGCTTGTTTTATCGTCTCTTCTTGACGTATGAATCGTGTTATTTGCTGTTGCAACGCTTCGTTTTCGTCACGAAGTTCTGTCAGCTGATGATCAAACGCACGACGCTCGCGTGCAATTTGAAACGCTTCGTCACGTGCTTTCTCTTCACAATCCTGAGCTTCACGTACTTTGGATTCCAAAGATCGTTTTAGATCAACAGCTCTAGCATGAATCGTGTCATGAGCTGCAATAAGAATCGGCAATTTTCGCTCAGCCTCCTGGACACGACGTGTTAAAACCTCAATTTCTTGCGTTTTTGCCTCACTTTCCAGTTTTTTACTACCCAGAGTGTTTGCAGTCCGCTGTAGTTGCAACCCAAGTTCACTCACGCGCTCTTCCAATTCGTCTTGAGCTCGAGTCGCTTCTTCCCGATTTGTTCGAACTTGAGCGTCGCGGAGGCGAATCTGATCCTCCAGTTCTCGTATTTGAGCACGCGTGGCACCTGCCTCTTTTTCTTTCTTTGCACGCACCCGTTCCAAATTAAGCGCATCTTGTGTATTTTGTAACTCTGCAGCTATTTCATCAATGGTTGCATTTGCGGCATTCTGAATCGTCGTCATTTTATTTTGCATCTCTTCGGAGAGTGTTGCATTCTCTCGAGCTTCAAGACGAGCAGCTTCGAGTTCAAGACGAACACCTTGCATCTCGTCTTTAGACAGTTCGGCTTGTAGACGTGCGTCTCGATGTGCGACCTCTGCAGCTCGTAACGCATCTTGTGTATCGTCTAAAGCTCGCTGGACCTCATGTTGAAGTGCCTGTTTGCTTCGAGACACACAATCAAGCTCAATATTTACTCGTTGCAACTCCGCAATTTGAGACTCTTTCTGAGCTTCCAGTCTAGCAATTTGGGGAAGAAACGTCGCCCGCAATTGTTCCATTTCAAGTTGTGCATTTGATTGAGTGTCTTGATGCAACTGCGTTGTTGCCGCAACCGTCATTTCGGCTTGAAGTTGCGCCTCTTGTGCATCAGACAATTGTTCGGCAAATATATCGCAACGTTGACGATGTATTTCCCTATCTTTAACATGAATTTGATCAAGGTGATCAATTTTCGTCTGCAATTGCGTGACCTGAGCAAGCAAATCCTCGATTCTTTGATTCTTTTCAGTTAAAACCTTGAAAATCTCTTCGTCACTCTGTGAGCGCTGGGTCAGCTCGAATTCGCGTGCACGTGCTGTTTCGTCTCTCTCATTACTTAACAACTGTGTCATGCCTTCCAATCGCTTTTGTAGATCATCAATCTGTCGCATCTTTTCATCAGTATATTTGTTTGCTTGTTGCAATCGGCTAACAAATTGTTCACTAGTTTTCCTTGCAGAGTTTTCTAGATCAGAGAAAGTTTCTTGCAAATCACCGTGGCGAAGCTCTAGGTCTCGGTGCAATCCACGCACTTGTTCCAGTTCCAACTGCTTGCCTTTGACGGCACGATATTGAGTTTCAAGATTTAAATTTAATCGTTCAGCTTCCGACACTAAATCGCGTTTTTCGCTTTCTAGACTTGCACTTCGTGCACGTTGCATATCTAATACCTTTTGTAGTTGCAAAAGTTGTGACGCACTTTCGGATCGAAGGCGTACAAGCTCCTGATTCTGTTGGATAATTTGCTCGTTTAATTGTGAATGCAGTGCTTCGTGGTCTTGAGCAACTTGCGCCAATTGTGCTAATTCTTCCGCAAGAGCTTTCGCATCCTGTTGCGCAACTTGAAGTTCTTGTTCCGTGTCTTGAGTCTGCAACTGCAATTTCCGTTCACGTATTTGAAACTTCTCGTGCTCTTTTTCTTTTTCTTGTCGTAAAAGTGTAATTTCAAGTTGCAATGGCTCCAATGCATCTGAAGTAGCTTTCAATTGCTCAAGACCTATAAAAATCAATGGCAACTGCGCTAAGGGATCATCGGAATTATTATCCTGACTCTCTGTATACACGTTGGCAAGAAGGCCAAGGTTCGTTTGTTTAAGAAGATTAATACATTGTAGAGTCACGCTTCCTGCGGTCTCGCAGCGGCTTGCAAGCTGTTGAACTTGAGATCTGGACTTTTCATAACGAATTTTAATCTCTTGTAGCTGCTTCGTCAGTTCCATCACTGCGTCGCTATCTGTGGATATTTGAGCTTCAAGTCGAGCCTTTTTGGCTTTCAAATTATAAACTTTCGCGGAAAGATGGCGCACTTCACTTTGCGATTCATGTACTTCAGCTTCTGTATTTTTCTGCACTTTCAAAGCTTTTATTTGTTCTTCTTCTGCCTGTTTTCCGCGTCCAGCGAGTGCTGCAGCGAGTTGTTGTCCCATTTGCTCAAGCTGCGCTTGGAAATTTGCCACTTCAGCTACCATTTGAGCTTTCAAATCATTCTTTTGAGTGAGCTCGCCATTTTCACGAGCCGTGGTATCTTTTAATTGTTTCATCAAGTCCTCGAGAGCTTCGGATAGTAAAGCCGACTCCTTTTCTCGTGACAGAGCCAGATTTCGCAACTTTAAGACTTCCTGTTGAGAGTTCTGAGCTTGCATCTGAAGCTCTTGCTCTCGCTTCAAGGCTGCCTCCACTTCATTAGTGACATTCCAAAGGTGCTGTCCAAGCTCTAGTTTTGCGTGTTCGTGTTCATTTGCTTGTTGTATAAGTTTCTGAACTTCGGTCGCATGTTGTGAGCATAACTCTTTCATCTTAACATCATAAGCTAGCTGACATTGATCCATGTTTTTTCGAAATTCGTCACTTAGGACTCTTTTCTCTTCTTCATGATGGATACAAACATTGCTCAATTGCGTCTGCACTCTGTTAAGTGCTGCCTCATGTTCCTCATGCATTTCTTTGGTGCATTGGTCTTGTCGCTCAATTTTATCGTTTAGTAGTCTCAAATCTTCGCGATGACGATTTAAATTTTGTAAAACCTGTGCTTCTAGTGTCTTCAGCGCTTCCTGAGCATTCCCAAGTTCGTCGCTTCGTGCACGTTCGTTAAATTTAGCACTATTTAGCTGTTCCTGCATTTGTGCAAGCTGGTCTGTCAATCGGGCCGTCTCTGCAAGTTGCTCGCGCCAAGCAGCCGCTGATCCTTCAGAATCTTGTTTCATCTGTTCTAGCACCAATCCAAGCTGTTCAAACGCCTGACCACTTTTCTCAATTGGTAGAGTACACGATGTAGCCACAAATGGCTGAACCATACCAGTATAGGGTGGGGAGGTATACGGTCCTTGTGCAATGTTTGGACCAGCCATAAGTGCAGCAAGATTTTGTTGCTGTTGCCGAAGTTGAAGCAGCAATTCTCCACCACCTGGCGGCAGTATATGTGGCTGTGGCAAAGAGTTCGAGCTTTTGGGACCATCGTCAATGTTGTTGAAGACTTTTTCTCTGGTGCTTGGTTTACGCCGGGTTTTGTTCCTAGTCAACGCCGAGCGTTTGTCACAAAACAGCGCACTAGATGACGGTTTTCGACTTGTGCTCGACATCATTGGGTTTGTTAGGTCTTCGGATGTAATATCGAAAGACCTTGCCTTTCGTCCTAATTCAGGGCATGTCCGTTGAAATGACACAATTCTCAAAAGACTGGGTGTCATCTATGATAAGCTTCATATTTTTAGAAATGAAGGACAAATGCACCGTATTCAGTCAACCATTTGTATCATGATGGCGTCGCCAGTGAAAGCTCGCGAGTGGGAAAAGTCACTGACAGTAAAGTGTCGATTATGTGGTGGTGCGCGTTGCAAGCGATGCAGTGAAAGTGCAGCTCTTGCTAAAGTGGACTCACCGGTCAAAGGCTTGCATGCTGACTGGGTGGCAGATTGCGCGTTGGCCATGATGCGTCCCTCTTCGCGACTCATGAATGAGTACAACATCGTTCAGCAGTTCCACTTGTAAGTTGTATTCGAGTCGTTTTTTTGACAAACTGTTTACACGTGAATTGTCAATGTTAGATTAAACATTACAGCTGTCTTCAACTTGACCCTTCCAGGTGAGCATCCTTATTGCGGGGACGGTCTTGGTACCAGCGGCTTTCCATATGACCCAGAGAAGGATTTGATGGCTCGAAACAGTAAGGTGTTGATAGTTTAATTGCCAATGCCTAACCTACTTTAATTTTGTAGTTCAGTTTTACAATTTTGGATGGGAAGATATGACAACTCCGACATTGTCGCTTATGATGGATATTGTCAAAGTGATTGCTTCCGTATTGCTCAAGGGTCACCACAGAATTGCTGTCCATTGTCATGCGGGGTATGGACGCACAGGAATCACGATTGCCTGTGCCCTCATATTTCTCCACAATATTTCAGCAGAGCTTGCGATTCGACTCGTTCGTCGAGACCGGCCTGGTTCAATTCAAACATCCGGACAGGTTCAATTTGTGCATGATTTCCACACATATATTAATGCTGCACGCATTGTATTTGCTTTGCCAAAAATTCATGACCAATTTACACTTGCCGAGACGATAGAACATCAGAATCGTCGTCTACATGGCGAAGACGCAGTTAAATCAAATCTACCACGAATACTTGATTTTCTCTGCATAGGGCTTGAAAATGCAATAGCTGTAACTTCAGATGTTGAGCAAATTGCTTCAGCGTTTGTACATCACCTGTGCATACACCAACAAGAAGCTTGGCCACGCACAAATGATACTATGAAGGATGTTGAATGTTCGTCGTCCAAATCGATGACTGAGTTACTTGATCAACACCGAAAATTTATTGTACTTGCTTTGAATGAGTCACATTTGGATGTTAACTCATTTGAGACTATAAAAGCTCCAGAAGTTGCAACTTGCGAGTTACTTTTTCCAATTAAAGTTGGCTTTAATGTTGGGGAATGGAATTGGAAAGATGCTTCAGCATTGTGTTCAAATTTAACAACATACGCAATATTGCTTCTTGATTGGCTTGAGCATCTGCGCGAACCATTGCTCAGTAGTCGACTTACCGAAAAGTTATTGCAGCCAAAATCGACAAAATCTGGAAATTCTGGCATCTTTAATCATTCACGATGCGACAGTGAATGTCATGGTAATACTGACAACGCCAATTTCGAATTTCAAGCGTTGCATCGATTACCAGCATTAACAATGAGAGCATTGGATCGGGTTTTATCATGTCTGCGTTTATTTCAAGACAGACTTGAACAAGCTAGGACAAAAAATGTTTTGTTTTACGCAGTCTGTGTTCGTTCTGCGATGGCGCTTTTTCACCTTTCTACGACATGTTGCACCACAATTTCACTGCGACGTCATGCAGAGTGCATTGCGTTACTAATTGATAAGTGGCACGCACCAAAGCGTTTAGAGCTCAATTTGGAATCACTTAAGAGATTAACTTTTCATCAACCGTCCACTTGCCGTCTCACTCAATCTGCTAGCAAGATTGACTACAAGTCTGACATCGACTTTACTCCTAATTCTGACTCAAGCAAATATTCCTCATCTTTTCTCATCTTGCACCCTGAAAGTGAGACGGTAGAGGTACAGTCGAAAGAAACCAACAAGTTTACCATTGCATTGACAATAGCATCTACAAGTTCATCATTGCAAGCGGCGTCTTCGCTGAGGATTGATCCGGCCTCAAAGAGAATCAGTGTTTGCGAAGAAGAAGCGAAAAGTGGCAGCAAAGCCTCGAACATGACGCATTCACCATTACAAAAGAAGATAGAATTGAGCCCAATAACATCACAGTCTTTACCAGCAAAGGATTTTGAATTTGACAACAAAAGAATTGCCGCGGCATTTTCCACAGAGCTACCAGGTATGACTTGTCAAATGAGTTCATTGACATTACCAAGTGTATGTGGCGGATTTCGATCATCTCAAAACAGAGAGGATAGCTCACGAAATCTTTTGGCGAAAAAGTTGTGAAGATCGCACTCTTACGAGACGATATTTCTTTTAATGTGAGCACTTTAAAGTTTGCGCTGTTTGACAAACCTGATTTACCCTCACTTTGCATAGCCAAATTGGATCCAAAAACCCTTCGCTCTTTCGCTTCATCAACAAAATTAAAGCTACAGCATTTTGCTTAAGCACAATAGCACGAGTAGGCTTGCACGCGGGATAAATTTGTCTTGTTGCTTCATCCACACCGGGATACCCACAGCGCATGCATATTTTTACGTTGTTGAAAACACGTTTCAAATTTGCGATAAGTTCCCACTGTATACTTTAACTAATGCCCTGGGTTTTTAAGTAATTTATGTCTTACACTCAAAACATACATGTGTCACTTTCTATACTTATCATGAAAAAAGACCGGGGAGCCGTATG